TCATTCATTCAGATTCTTTCTCTCCCTGTCCTTAGTGGGTACTGGAGGTCCAGCAGTGACTGAGAGATCCCACCTTTCCCTCATGGGGGCTGGGGTGGGTCCATCTTGGGCAGGACTTTGGTCGTTCCTGGAGCTGGGTGGGTCCTCAGGCATCTCTCAGAGATAAGAACAGAGTTCATTCTGGGCTTTTCTGAGGTGGTCTTGAGCATGCCTTTCTGGAGGACTAGGCAGCAGCGGGAGGCTGAGGCTCTGGGGCTGCTGGCCCTAAGACAGGCTGGTTTCACCAGAGAATCCACCTAACACAATAGCTTGATTGTGAGAGGCCTGGCTCCCCCCACCCAGCACGTTAACATGTCTGTGATCAGAATGTGTCTTAAAACTGATGTGTACGTGGAACAGGACACTGTAACATTTTAACTCCCCTCCCAAGGCTGTTATTAAGTCAGTCATACGGCTTATGGTCGTTGTGTCGGAATGTGGTTTTGTCATAGAAACTACCCTCAGAATGTGGTTCTGATGTGACCCATCTATCACCACAAACTTCTAGCTGCTAGTGGCTGAATAACCCTTCTATTTGGGGTGTTTCATATAAATTCGCAGAAAAGAAATGCTATTCAATGGATTGATTCATTCTTGAGATTCCCGCAGTGTGTTTGTCCGGGATGGCAGTGGGCTGGGGTGGAATGGGCCCAGATCTGGACTTGGATCCTTGCTTTTTGGCCCGCTAGTGGAGGGACCTTGGCAGAGGTGCTGCACCCGCTGACCCTCAGTTCCCTCTTCTGTAAAATGGGGACAGCGCCACGCATCTCACGGTTCCCTCTTAGCGCCACACGCCTCCTCCTTACAGGTCTCCCACCGTTGTGCGTTTGTGTGATTATTAGATTCACCTTCTCCCTCTTCCCACTGGGCTGTGGGCATCGTGAAGCAGAACGCCTCCCCCATCTGACTGCTGTCAATTGAGACCAGTTTGGACAAAGTGGGCTGTGACTCAGAGAGAGGCCAGAAGCTGAATGTACTTGCCTTGGGCGGGGCTGCTGCCTGTTCTGTTTGTTCTGCTGTAGCCAGTTGTGGCTCCCGGATCTCTTCTCTGGAATTGCTCAAGTGTGGCCGGTGTAGGCCTTGAAGACCTGAGCTCAGGTTCTGCAGCCCTTGGAGTCTCCAAGTTAGGAACGTGGGAAACACACCAGTGGTATCTCAGGCACATAGATGACTGCTGGCCCGAGGCTCTGCCCCACTGAGCTGGTGCAGAGTTCCATGGAGCTGCCGGGGGCGGCAGCCGTACAGAGCACCAGCTGCGCAGGGTTCTGAGCTAAGACAGCCTGGCTTGGAATCCAGTTCCACCTCTCATTGACTGTGCTACCGCAGGCGTGCTGTGTAGCTGTGCTGAGCCTTGGTTGTAAGAGGGGTGGCGATGAGGCCTGTGCTGTCTCAGAGGTAGGCTTCTATGACATGAGCGGGTAAGCACGTGGCTTTCAGATGGGATGGTGCAGCGTCTCTAGGACACCAACCGAAACAGACTTGACTGCGAGACACCTTGAACAGGGCATTGGAGTGAGGCAGGGAAAGGCGTGGACTTTGGAGCCATACTGACCAGCGTTCACATCCCACAGAATCACCAACGGTGACCTTGGGCAGGTTGCTTAACTTCTCTGAGCCTTTGTTTTCTCATCTGTAAAATGTGACGCTAAAACTGGAACCTGCCTCCTAAGGTTGTAGCGAGGATGAAATGAGATACTGCGTGTGGCTTACTTAGCACAGTGGTACTTAATAAATCACTGTGTGATGGAGAAATGGCTTAGTTGCTCTGCCCATGAAAGTGCAGGAATACCGTGCAGTCCCTTCCTGGGCCATGTGCTTCGCACATTTTTGTCTGCCTTTACTGAATAATAATTAAGCTAATTTGTGTTAGGCAGGCCTGTGAGGTCAGTCAGAGTCTCTACTTGGCCCGGGCTGCCCAGAGAGCATAGTGAGCCACCGTGGTTCCCGGGTGGAGTCAGGAAACCTGCAGCTTCCGCAGCCCCAGAGGCCTTGTGCTAGAGAAGCATATATTTAATGTCAGCCTTTCCAAATGCTTCCAAGAGTTCAGGGGCCTCTGGGGCCACGGGAGAGAAGCTACTGTCTGGGGCTAAGATGCATCAGTGTTGGCTGGTATGAAATCCACCAGACTTGGCCATTTGTCTTGTGGCCAGACTTGGGTGATGGGGGTGGGGTTTGGGGGAGGGGTCCCTGCCTCACCCTCTGCAACCCCAGGACAGGCCTGGCATTGGTCCTCCCGCTTTGTGGACCTCCTGCAGCACGGTGGTAGCTTGCTTTCCTCCCTGCTGGTTCTGGTGAGCGGACCAGCAGGCAGGGGAGTAGTGCTGTGTGAGGGGTAGGATGTTTTTACTGTAAGGCTGGTATCAGATGCACCCGAGGTCCTTTTGTCGGTGCATCTGCACTCCTCCTTCGTGTGGACTTCTAGGATCTGGATGTGCTGCAGTTGCCCCAGACATAAAGCCCCCCTCCTCGGGCTCCTGGGAGGATCCCCAGCGTGGGTGGCAGTAGTGGTCATAGCACTGGCTCAGCCTGGTGGGATTTCCTGACAACCCCAGCAGAATGTATCCAGGTTAGAGAATCTGGGTCTCTGCTCTTCTCTCTCTGCAATTCTGGTTGTTATGGCTCATAATACTCAGTGACTAATGTTTTCTGAGGCTTTGCCACACACCAGGTACCGTGCTAAGGCCTTCCCGGTCATGATCCCACACGCTCCTCCTAGAAAGCAATGGAGCGTGGTTCAGAGTGCTGGGTTCAAGTGCTGGTGCTGGCATTTACCAACCATGTGGCCTTGGGCACAACACTTAACCTCTGTGCCTCAGTTTCCTCACATGTGAAATGGTGATGACTAACAGTACCTGTGTTATAGGGTGGTTGTGAGGACTCTCCCTCTTGGTAAGTGCAATGTAAGTGTTAGTTGTTACCAAGAGATGGGCATTACTGTTATCCCATTTTACAGGTAAGGAAACTGAGGCTTAGAGAGGCTAAATGATCTGCAAGGGTCACTTAGCTCATAAGTAGAAGAGCTAGGATTTGAGCCTAGCTTGTGCGTACTACCTCACTCTGTCTCAATTTGGAAAAATACATGTGGGGAGCATTTGGCCAGCTTCGGAAGTGGCATTCTCAACTTTCCTCAGAGCCCCGGTGAAAGGGGATCCTTTTCTAAGTAACCGAACTGCCCTCTGGGAGCTCTCGTAATCCCACAGCAGAGGCAATAGCTGACCCGTGACACACATATCACAGGAGGAGAAGGGAGGGATCAGTGAAGAATTTCTGTTTGGAAATGTTATCTAACGAGTGCTTTCAAGGGACTCAGAATGCAGAGCCTGTACCGTCCCCCTGCCGGGTGCCGGGGAAGCCTCATCCTCCCCTGTGTCCTGGCCAGGCCACGTACAGCCTGCTGGAGACCTGGGGCTCCGTCCCGTCCCATCCCGTCCCGTCCTGTGCGAGGAGGGACCAGACGTCCTCGGACCCGCCGGGAAACCAGGGCAGCGCTGTGCCCCGAGTCACAGCGGCAGGAACCTCTGGCTGATGTGTCCCTCCCGGCTCTGGACCCCTCTGCTCCTCTCCTCCCCGGCTGAGGGCATGAGTACAGGCTGCTCAGTGCCAGGGAACTTTCTGAACGAGGGCTCCCGGCTCTCGCAGGACAGCGTTTGCTTTTGCCTCAGCAGAGTCTCCAGCCAGGGTGCATAGGAACCCAAAACTGAAAGACAACTTCCGGAGTCCTCGGGCTAGCCCTACGTCCGTGACTCCATCGGCCCGCTGGCCCCTCAAGGGCACCCGTCCACACAAGCTCATGCTCGCGCACACACCCCAGCTGCGGAGCCCTGCCCAGGAGCCGCCTGCCTTCACCCCAAAAGCTCTTTGTCTGAGGGAGAGTGGGGCTTACTGATGGAGCCCTCGAAACCCCAGCCATGACCTCACGCCCCCAGAACTCCACCCTCTACCCAGGTGTCCACAGGTCCTGTCCCAGCAGATGCCTTGTTTGGCTCCAAGTGAAAGCAGGAGGGCCCAGCTGCGAGCATCGCGTTCCCCGGCTGGAGGGGTCAGGGTTCTTGAGCCCAGAGACCCGGAGCCAGCTGCTGCCTCTCGCCCCCGTACCTCGGTGCCACAGAGTCGGGCTCTTACCTCTTCCCTCCTGCCTGGCTCCCGGGGCAGCTCTCATATGCTTCACCTCGGCCGTCAGCGGGGCAGCCTGGCCATGGCCCCCCTGAGTCGCAGGCTGGACCGGCTGCAGAGCAGCCCTGCCTCACTGGCCTCTGCTCGCTCCGCTCTGCCTCCACAGCGGGGGCTCCGGCCAGGGATGGGGCGGGGGCTGGCCCGGGGTCCCGCCGGGTGGCTCACGACCTGCCTTCTCTCGCGGGGGCCGGCAGCTGCCCCAGTGCCATGCTCTGCAGGTCCGGAGCTCAGGCGGCACTGCTCAGGGCGCGGGGTCCATCCTCAGGCCGTCTGCGGCAGCCTCATTTGAACTCCCAACTCCTTTGTGGAGCCTTTACATGCTGCCGGAGGAAACTGTGAGCACAGCCTGACCCTGGTTGGCTGCAGGCACTTCTCTCCACCCACCAGTGCAAGAGGATCCCCCAGGCCCCAGAAAGGCTCAGGGCCTCCCCTCAGCCCCAGACAGAGGCGGGCCGCCCGGTGATGTCACACTAGCTCCGGCCCCAGCTGGCCTGGCCCCTCCCGCCCCAGCCTGCTTTGGCGGCCTCGTCGGGCCCCCTCCTTCCTTGGCACGAGCAGCCGGGCCGGCTCTGCTCCCTGGCCCAACGGCTCCCAAAAGCCCGGGCAGCCCCGGGTGCGCTCTGCCGAGGCAGAGAGCTTCCCCTCTGACTCAGGTAATGGGTTTAGATCCGCCCCAGCTGTGCAGGCAGCGGGTTGGCGTGTGGGCTGCAGGGAGCCGGGTCCTCCCCTGGATTGCTGCCTCTTCCAGGCCTGCCCCGCCGAGCCCCAGTTGGGCAGGCAGGGCAGCCCCGCACAGACGGCCTCTCCCCATCAGCCGCCCTTCTTGGAGGCTTCACTCTTACCTCTAAACCCTGGGGAAGGGAGCCCCAGGCTGTCTGCACAGCAGCCAGCGGGATCTGGGCTGTGAAGTTAGGGAGAAGCAGTGGCTTGGGACAGTGGAATTACCACCGGCTGGGGTGGGGGCAGCGCTGGGGAAGTGCTCCACCACTTCCCACCTGAGGGGCCTTGACTGAGTCACTGCGTCTCTCCGGGCACCCCTCTCGTGCATCAGTAGATGAGCTAAAACAAGTAATCTGCCGCCAAGGGCTGCGGCGAGGGTTCTATGAGGTCATGCAGGAAAGGCCTCGGCGTAGGGCGAGGAGGCCTTAGTGGACTGAACTCAGGACTCTGGCGTCCAGCAGGTCAGGGCTCGCGCTCCCAGAACTTCCGCTGGGACCTCCCGTCCGGCTCTTTGAGGAACACATGATGGGAGTCCATCGGCACCCTCAGCACAGAGCCTGCCCCCGAGACGGAGCTCATGAATGTTTGTGGAGTCAGAGCAAGAGAAGAGACAGCACTGGACCCCACGCAGCACGCGGCCCTACAGGCTCATTGGCACAGGCCGGGGGGACGGGCCTGCTCAGTGGGCGGAGGCGAGTCCTGGGAAGGAGCAGCCAGGGCAGGTTTGTCCTCTGCCTGGACAACAGCCTTGTGCAGTGTTGGTGGTAACTCTCCTTTCCCTTTTAAAACATTTTTAGTGATGATGGTGGTGGTGATGATGATGTTTGGGTACAAATTGGGAGAGAAACTTCAGTGGGGTTCTCTGCGCCGCTAGGCACAGTGTATCATGTTCCTGGGTCCACCGTGCTCCTCCCCTCCCCAGGATAGCCACCCCTGTCTTTGCAGAAGGAGAGCACCTTTCCTTCTTGCCTCAGCTTCTCCCATCCTGCTCAGACCTTGTCCTCTGGCAAAGGTGTTCTTTGCCAGAAGACCCCAGCATCTTACAGGCCACCACGTTAGCCAGACAGCAGGATGGCACAGAAACCTTCCCCACGTCGACTCCGGGGGTGAAGGTGTTGCCCGCCCTGTGGATTTTCCAGAGGGCCTGGAGGATCCTGGTGGGGCCATGGCAGGCTGGGGGCTCAAGATCGGCCGGAGCATATGAGAGGGGCCCAACTTCTTCTGAGCTGCGCCCTAGACAGCCTGGATGCAGGCATATTCCCTTCTTTCCCTCCCTCCCTCCTTCTTTCTCTCTCTCTCTCTGACTCTCTTTTCCAGGATGTATTTTTTGGGAACCTGCTCTGAGGCAGCACCAGGAAGGCAAAGTCCCTGTCCTCACAGAGCTCGCAGGCGGGAGGGGAGACAGACAGACAGACTTGGGCACCTGAGAAGTGCCGGGCGCAGGGAGTATCTAAGCAGGATGTCTGATGAAGCAGTCAGGGCAGGCCCCTGACAAAGTGGTGCTTCAGCTGAAACCTGGAGGATGGGTCAGAGTTAGCAGGTGGTGAGGTTAGAGGGAGGGTGGCCTGGGCGGAGAGAATAGCACATGAAGTGGCCCCAACAATATCTCCCCGCCAAAGTGAGACCTTGACACTCCTCCCAATGAGAGGTAGGATCTCTGCCCCCTCCCCTTGAATGTGGGTGGTTTCTGACTTGCTTGTAACCAGTAGAATGCAGTGGGAGTGACACTACCCGACTGCCAAGACTGGGTGAAAGAAGCCAGTGCAGCTTCTGCCTTGTTCACTGGCACACTCTGTGTTGGCGCCATGAGCCAAGCTGGACCCCAAGAAGTCCAGCTACCCGGAAGCTGACGTGTGAAGACTGCATGTACCATGGGTCCCAGCTGGCAGCTGGCATCAACCCCCAGACGTGGGAGGAAAGAGGCCCCTCGCCATTGAGTCATCCCCAGCTATAGCGTCTTCCTGCTGAGGCCCCAGCCATCAGGCAGCAGAGATAAGCCATCCTAGTGTTCCGTGCCCGAACTCCTGACCCACAGAACCCATGAGGATAAGGAAATGGTTATTTGAGGCCGCAAAGTTTTGGTGGTAATTTGTTACGCTGCAGTAGTAACAGGAGCGGACCCTGAGGCAAGGGCAACTGTGAGTTCTTCCAGGAGCTGAGAGGAGTGCGGTGTGGAGGAGAGAAGGGGAGCGTGGCAGAGGATGAGGCCTTGTCAGAGGGGGGACTTCATCCCGAGGGCAGTCAGGAAGCACTGCAAGGTTCTGAGCAGGACAGGGTTCCTTCCGCCTTGCTTTTGTTTCTAAGAGGGCCACTGGCGTTGACTGGATTGACAGGTGCGGCGGCCGAGGCATCAGAGCTGCTGGGAGTTGGTTGCAGCTGTCTTGGTGAGAGAGGTGGTTGGAAGCGATGGGACCCCCTGGGGCAGGAAGCGTTCCCAGGACATCCCCCCTGCTCTGGGAATAGGTGCAGCCCAAGCCCTTGGTTGCTAAACAGATTTGCTTTCACAATTCCAAGTTCCTGGGATCCCACCAAGTGGGAAAGGAGCAGCAGGGTGGCCGTGCCCTGCCCATCTTTCCTCACCCCCTGCCCTGTTGGTGGCCTTGGGCAATCAAGCACACCCCTGGGGAGCCTGAGCTGGGCAGTCAAATTCTGGTTCTACCGCCAGTAGCCCTGAGCCTCACTTTCCTCCTGTGGAAAATGAAGATGATGTAAGGATTTACCCCACAGGGCTGTTGTGAAAATTAAATAAGATGTGACACGTTAAGTGTAACACACATGGTAAGTGCTCAGTAACGTTGGCTCTGGTCGTTTTAGTTGCCCGGGAGTCCCCTGAGCACGGGGGCATGTGTGGCGTGGGCCGTGTGGAGCTCTCCTTTTGTCCAGCCCAGCACAGCAGAGTGAATAAACGGATGGCTGGCCGGGGAGGGTAAAGAGCTGTGGCTCAGAGGCTGACGAACCTGTGCTCAAATCCCAGCTCTGTCACTAACCTGGGCAACTTTCCAATTCTCTCTCAAACTTTGTTTCCTCCTGTTAAAAAAGGCAATGATAATACTGACTCCTAGGGGTTAGTGTGAGGATTAAGATAAGATAACATACCTAACGCGCTTAGCACAATGCCTGGCACTCGCCATTGCTCAGGAAGTTGCTGCCGCTTCTCCCTGCCCCCAGGCTCCTCCCCACTCGTACCCAGAACATCCTCGTCAAGCCTCCACCTTGATGGCTCCCAGATCTTGGAATCCTCCTGACCTCAGTGAGCACCATCCCTGAGTTTCCACCTGCCTGTTGGACCGGTGTCATGTGACTAAAGCATTTGAGGAAAAGGGAATCTTTCTTTTTCTTTGTATAGTTTTTACCAGAATGAAAAAGACGTGTGATGTTTACATGGTGGCAGAATACAAAGAATCTTCATTATGTCCCACAGTTTGTATAAATTTCATGTGTTTTCCTATTTATCACCTTCCTGACAGTTAACAGTTCTTTTGTTTTTCTTTTTCCTGTCGGGAATGTTGGGATGTTCTACTGAGATAACTGTGTATGAGGGGTGGGGGCTGAGGCGGGGGGAAGTGCACGAATAATGTGTGTTACGTAGACAGGGGTGCTTGGGAGGGGGTTTTTGCTGTATCTCGCAACCTCAGAGTCTTACCAGCATTTCAGGCTTCACATTTTCCAAGCTGATTTTTTCCTTTCGGCACTTTTGAAACGCCTTTCCATTGTCTCCTGGCTTACACTATTTCTAATGAGCAGTCAGCTCTCTTCCTTGCAGTTGTTCCTGTGTACGTGGTGGGTCTCTTCCCCTCTGACTTTTTTAAGATTTCTGTCTATCTTTGATTTTCAGTAATTTGACGATGATGTGACTAGGTTTGATTTTCTTCATATTTATTCTGTATGGGATTCACTGAGCTTCTTAGATCAGATATTGATCTGACGCCAGAAGCCCTCATTTATCCGCTCAGCCGCCTCGCCGGGCCCCAGGACAGATAAGCGAGGTCGGCAACAGCTTGGCTACCCCTCGGGACGAGAATTTCAGCAGGTATCTATCTGCAAGCAAATTGCGGTCCTTTCCCACTGACCGTAAAACTGCCTCCAGTCCCTCATCTCCTGTTTAGGACAAAGGTCCCGTCTGATACAGACAACAGTGTTCCAGAAGCAACCGTTTTTAAACATTTTATGCTGGATGGGGATGATTTTAAACAGCTTTGGAAATTTCCTGTGAAGTGTTTTTTACGAACCTACGAAGAAAACCAGGAAACGAAAATTAAATCTCTCCTGTCTCTGTTCTTCAGTCTCCCCTCTTGGGGACAAGCCCCCACGTGAGCTGCAGGGTGAGAGAGAGGCGACAAACCAAATGAACATTCCTTAAGATACTGTTACGAAGACAAAATGAAAACCACTCAACTGAAGTCTCAGCAAATTGGCTTCGGGCAAATTGGCCTGGAGCCCATAGGTGGTGCTCAGATGGGGTTTAATAAGTATCTGTTGCCTGAGCAGTGAATGTGTTTGGCAGGTGATGTCCAGGCTTGAGAAGAGGCACTGCCCGGACTCTGTCCCCTGGCAGGTAGGTTGGGAAGTCGGGAATGAGATGGACAAGCTGACAACAGGCGCTCCAAACCGCTTTGTAACTGAGCATGCACCCTGTGCTGACACTTGGATAGACTTGCCTGGCAAGCACTTCACAGACACAGCGTCCTCGTAGGGCTTTCCGTGTGCTGGGACATCCTCTGTGACACTGGGTAGTATAGGATGACTATTAGCACTGCCTTAGATACTTCCCATAAAAGAAGTCTCCTAACTTCTCACCAGGAAACATGTGGCTCCCCTGCCAGACATGAGGCAGCAAGTCACAGGACCCGACCACAAGGCCTCCAGGAGAGGAGGGGACCAGCTGGCTCACTCTCAGCTCAGAGGCAGCTGCTTCATTAAATCTGGAGGGATGGACGCTTCTGGCAGTTCCACAGCCTTCCTGATGCTCAGACACTCCCGTAGGCCTTTCCAAGACCAGCTGACCAGGAGAGGAGGGGCCTTGCCTTTTTGTCCCTCACCCATGGCTCAGCCTCACTGCAGCCTTGATCACTAAAAACTGCCACACTTCCTCGAATCTGAGAAGTCGTCAACCATTAAATGAGTCATGTTCTAGTAAAAGAGACAAAGTACTGCCAATTAAACCCTGACACGCTACTAACTTTAAGATGCCTCTGGATTTCAGAGATCCTAAAACAAGAAAAAAGTGTTAAAACGTTAGAATCGAAGAAATGTAATTTGTTTTCAGGACAACACAGCACAGTGGTCCTGCTATCTTTGATGTAAGTCTTCGTCACAGTCCCATCACTGCCTAGCAGTGTGGCCTGGTGCAAGGAAGCCCACTTTGCCAAGCCTCACTCTTCTTGTTAGTAGAACAAAATAGTAAGACTTCCCTCATAGGGTTTTGGGGGAGAAGAAAAAAAAGATACCTATAAAATAGTGAGCTCGACACCCAGCCCATCGCAGGTAGCTACATAAGGTGCTCTAACAAGGCTTGTGAGGCACACGTTTCTTTCATCTTCTAGTGCCCTGGTGGGTACACGGAGCTGAACCAAACTGTGAATTATCGGGGCTGATATTTCCCAACAGACTATGACCAAGAACAGGGAGGGCAGACAACTGAATTAAGGACCACCAACCAGCGGGCTAGGTTTATGGTAGGGCATCAGTAAAAAGCAGGAGGTTCGGGTGAGAAGGCGAATTCCGCTGGGATGTGCGGAGGTCCAGTTCCTGAAAAGGAGGAGTAGGTTGTATTGAACTAACCCACTGGTCAGTAACAATGATAAAAGCTGGATAATATACAAAAGACAGCTGCTTGAAAGCACTTGAAAGCAATCCAAAGCAATAGAAGCTGGAGGAGACATGTTCCTTGAAAGACAGGAAGCACACTAGGGTATTTCCCTACTCATGGTGATACACAGAATGACAAAACAGAATGCAGCAGCATTACTGGCTGGGAAGAAGAGAAAGAGATTGGACCTTGAGGATGGAAATTGAAGGGGGAAATGCTAGAAAGGAGAAAGCCACAGAATGAGGAGCTCCAAAACTACTATACAAATTCCCCTTGATTCCTTAGGTAACCCCTAAATTGTACACATGGGGGGGTGGGGAGAGAGAGTCCTGGGAGCCCAAAAGAAAGTAGCAGCTGAGAGGCAGAAAGTTCAGCAGCTGCCTGACAGATGGAGTTTGGAGTTCAAGTCCTGCCAAGTTAATGGGGCTTAGCCAGCACTTAAGGCTCTCAATTTAATCCCAGAAAGGCCATGCCTTACAAGTGAACCCAGGATTAAGGGTTATACTCTAGGATTAAGGGCAAAACCAAAATAAACCTACCTGAACAAAACCTAAAAACCAAGCCTCCACAAGGTCAAGGGAATATGCCAGTAATTTAACTGCCTGCCAGAACGAAACCCAACATTCTTGAGAGGAAGACAATAAAATACTGAGTCTTTTCAACGTAGCATCCAAAATGTCCAGCACACAACTTAAAAATTATAGGCGTGTGAAGAAGCAAGAAAACGTGACCCACGATCAAGAGAAATAATAAAATTAGACCCACCGATGACCCAGATGTCGGAATCAGTAAAGAAGGACTTGAAAATGTGTACATGTTATGAATATGTACAGGGTTTTCACGAAATGAAGTACAGAATGAACGCATGGATAGGGAATCTCAGAAGAGAAATGGGTCACATAAAAATAAACTAAGTGGCAATTCTAAAGCCAAAAGGGTACAGCACCTGACATGGAACATAATTTGGATAAAATTAACAGCAGATTAAATCCTATAGAATAAAGGATCAGCAAACTTGAAGCCAGGTAATAGAAATGATCCAAACAAGCACAGAGATTTTTTTTTTTAAAGATAAAGATAAATAAATGGTGTTTCAGTGACCTGTGGGACAATGCCAACTGTGTAAGTGGAGTTCCAGAAGGGGAAGGGAGAGAGAATTGTGCAGAAGAAATATTTAAAGGAATAATGGCCCCCAACCTCCCCCGCCAACACATTCCCAAATTTAGTGAAGAATATCAACCCAAATTTCCAAAGCTGTTTAAAATCATCCCCATCCAGCATAAAATGTTTAAAAACGGTTGCTTCTGGAACACTGTTGTCTGTATCAGACGGGACCTTTGTCCTAAACAGGAGATGAGGGACTGGAGGCAGTTTTACGGTCAGTGGGAAAGGACCGCAATTTGCTTGCAGATAGATACCTGCTGAAATTCTCGTCCCGAGGGGTAGCCAAGCTGTTGCCGACCTCGCTTACCTGTCCTGGGGCCCAGCGAGGCGGCTGAGCGGATAAATGAGGGCTTCTGGCAAGAGATCGATGGAGTGAGCTCCCCAGGCACGAGGCCAGGGTGGGATCACGAAGCAGAGGTGCTGGCGCTGGCGGGGAGATGGGCTGGTGTCATCATAGAGCTCCGAGGGCTGGGCCTGGGGCTGCCTCATTGTGGGCTCTGGCCTGAGCATCTTGCTTGAGGCCTAGTGCATAGAAGCACACGCTAGTGAATGACTGTTGAATGACTGCAGGGCAATACTAGCCTTCGAAAGCTCATCCAGGGTTTCTGACTCAGGGTCTCAGGGGTGAGGGCAGCAAGGGGCACCATTCGGGAGTCTACCTAGGAGAAGAGCGGGGAGGAGACCAAGGAGAGAAAGACAGCCACTCTGACGTGGCGAGGCTGTGTCTAAACCCCTGACGAGCTGCCCCAGGCCTGCCCCAAGCTGGCTCTGGGAGTCCTGAGTAACTCCCTCCTCCACTGATCTGGCTCCCGGGTGCCCCTGCCCCAGCCTTGCCCTCCCCCCTTCTCCACTGCTCCGTCTGCCAGGCAGGTACAGGAAGGAAGGCAGTACCTGTGATGGGCCTTTCAGGGCCGTCCCGCCGGGTGTGGGTGAGGCAGCAGAGGGGCGTCCGCTCACGTTCCTGGTCCAAGGGGATGATGTCGGTGTCCCCGGTCTTAGCCCCTCTCCTCTGCAGGCAGGGCTGGTCCCCAAAGTGTTTTGGCATTTGTTGTCTCCCTTGAGTCTCACGGCAGGCCTGGGGGTGGGGAGGGCAGCAGTTACTCCATTTTATAGATGAGAAAAAAGAGACTGTGAAAATATCACGGTCGTTACTGTCGTCATCGTTTATTGTTTACTCCGTATCGGGCATTGTGCCCGTCCGTTCCCTGGCCTTATCTCAGCCAGTCCTCCCGGGTTCTGTGCGGGCAGCGCTTCAAGCAGGGCCCGCAACTCCCTCCCACCCTGGGCACTTGGTGAGCTCCTTCCCCCACTAAAAATATTAAAAACCATCTTCCATGACTGCATTGGTGTAAGGACAAATATGCTAACATTATATATTAAAGCATTTTCTGACCTAAAATTGCACTTTTTGCTCTCATTTTAAAAGCAGCTAGAACATTTTGGGGCCCCGATAGTATCGTGAGCCCCCGGCCCCGTGCCTGGCTGCACCTGTTGGATGACTCGGCCCTGACTGCGAGAGCACACTCCCTCCTCCACAAATTCAGAACCCCAGATCGCTGAAAAAGTAACAAACAAACAAACAAACAAACACCCCAGCAAGCCTTTTTTTAGAA